TGAAACTGAAAGTGGATAGAAATGTAGATGAACATTAATACAAAGTTTGAAATCTGAATGATGACAAGGAGTTAAATAGATCTCAGACACTGCATTCGATTTTGTCTGGCAGTATGAGTGATCTAAAAATCCCACCTTGAACAATCTACTTATAATATTGACACTTATCTCAATATTTCAACTATTTTTTTATTATAGCTTGATTCCACACAGTATTTTGGTACAACTAAGGAATTGCCAGCATGTGATATCGGTAGCCTAAATTTAGCAGGCCGACCATTGATATCAGGTATGCGTTGGCTGGGATCGAACCTGAGACCATGTGCATGGTCGGAAAGCTTCCTAATCACTGTGTCATTTGTTACTCTTACACCCCACCCACCGGTGTATCGTCATTCAAACATTTGCACATCTTGTTTTGACTTAATCCTCATTATTACTCTGTGTCTTTGATTCATTTCTATTTTAATACTTCACTTTACCATTGTGTGATGGTGAACTATTCATGGTAGTGAGCTTGTTATACGATTTTAATCCTGTTCGAGTGAAATGAAGGTTACACTATGAAATGACTGCTTGACCATAGGCTGTCTCCAGGACATTCATTTTGTTCTGTTTCGATTCATGCAGACTGGGAGATGGAGATTCCATCTTTGATTTTCAAGTAATTAACAGTCATATTTCATATTAGTTTGTTTATTCGAAGTATTACACAATGAAACTGTATTATTTACTGAATGACAAAGTTTCGAATACAATTTATTGTTCATAATCATTTCATCAATTATAATCACACGACTTTGAAACTTGAGTTTTATAGTTTTCTTTGTTCTCTCCTATTTGTCGTCGCTGGAGGAGTAGAATTTTCCAGATATCTGGCTGGACAGGTGTTGAATCATTCCTGTTACACGTATTCTCTCCAGTTGATTCGATAAACAAAGCTACTGTTATCAATCTCTCTCTACACCCTGTGACATTAGATTTGAAACTGTCATCTTATCCCATGCATCCTACTGCATGGTTGTATGTAATTGCATGTGGTGAGTGGTATAGCTGAACTATTCTCTAGATTTCTTATCTTATTTGGGTCAACCAATCTAGATTTTGCTAGCTTTTTATGTTCGGTTGGTTGACCCATATAAGATAAGAAATCTAGAGAATAGTTCAGCTATACCATTCACTACATGCAATTACACACAACCATACAATAGGATGCGATAAAATGACAATTTTAAAATCTAATGTCTCAGAGTGGAGGGAGAGATTGATAACTGAAGCATTGTTTATTGAATCAACTGAAGGGAATACGTGTAATAGGAATGATTCAACACCTGTCCAGCCAGATATCTGGAATATTCTACCACCCATACGACGTGTGTTTATAATTGATATGATTATGAACAGCAATAAATTTTGTTCGAAACGTCCTCCTGTAAATAATACTGTTTCCCTCACTGTGTGATACATCTAATAAACAAACTGATATGGAATTACTTACTACCACAGTGTCCAAGTTTTACACATATATTAACAGTCATATTTGTTTAATCAATTTTGTTGTACAAAAACCATTTTGTACCTGAGAAACTTTTGGACCGTATATCTGCCGGATAACACTGTTAAAGTAGTTTTGTATTCTTGATATGAGTTATTACTTCCGAGTAGTATCACATATGAAAAAAACTAAACCATCTTTTCATATTACTGCAATATAAAGTTTGACTATATGACTTGTGGGGGTTCGGTAAGTTATAAAAAAGAAGGCATTGATTAGTTTTCTGAATTCAGACCAAATTACTTCAAGTTAAATCCTCAACCATCATCGAAGCATCCGGATAAGGAGTCGACATATCAACAGAGACCGAATACTTCGTCCCAATTAACCAACAAGAAAGTTGAAAATGAATTAAACAAAATACTTGGGATTCGGTCATTATATTTTGAGCCATAGACACAAACGGACTATTTTGTGATAAGCAGTCGATTAACAGTATCATATGATGTCCCAAATGGAACATCTACATCGAATCAGATTGACTAACGCAGTATCTAAAATTCTACATCCTATGGTTCTGCAAAGATTAAGTAGTGCTGGATGATATGCAAAATCGAAAACGCTATTCAGATTTTTGGATGCATTCACCATATCTTCAAGTCTTCAATAGGTTCTGGTTCTGAATACTATCAAACGTCAGCCATATGTATTGACATGAAAGAGTCGTTTGATTTTATCAGTCAAGAGCAGTTGAGGAAATGTCCACGTATGCAAGGGGTGACAAGAATGTTGGCTGTACTATTCAAAGTACCACACTCAAATTCACTAAATTATCCTCTTTCTCATACTACTACTTCGTCCTTGTTTTCTCCTTCCATCAGGGGTCATTTTTTTCCAAAGCGCGACAACTAAAACTGATGAAAAAAAATCTGAAATTGCAACAATTTAACTTCATTAAACAAGTGCAGTATGCAATAGCAGGATATGTAGTTGTTTTCCAAGTCAGTTTCCCATGGGATTACTGAAATTCTCTACATTAGAATTCTTGTTAATACTGCAAAACAATCGCTGAACATACTACCCATTTTCATACTACTTACTCGATTGTCTGAGATTAAATTTGGATTTTTTGAGTACTTGAACTGGCTTGTTCAGCATCTTCTGTCAAACCAACTTGTAAGTGCTTGGTTCTAGGATCCAAGACAGTCATATCTGTTGCATAATCGCTTACTTATTAAGCAAAACATTATCATTTATTATTATTTCTTTGGGTTCCGATTGTAACATAGGGCTTCACAATAACACATCTCTGCTTTGTTCTACTTTCTGCTGTGTCCTCTTCACCTAAGTCCACCCTCGCCCAAAACCTATCATCTCCGCCTACGACTAACACGATCTCCTCCATGTCACTCTCGCACGAACGACCCACTCATCGCTTCCCATTCAGATTCCACTCGAGTGATGGCCTGCATTGCTTGCCCTGCCCGATCCATCTCCATTTTCTCCTACATACTTGTTAAGCGATCGACTCTTGGTTGTTTTGTTCATCGCCAGTTTCTTTTTACTAATTCTTTCTGGCCATTCGATCTTCAGTAGGGAGCCAGCAAAAGCAGCTGTTGGGGAAAATCTACAGCCACCTGTTGAAAATCCTTTTCGTGATGCGTAGTGCAAGTTTCTCACCTGTATAGAAGAGCTGACTGACTGACTTCACATTGGTATGGAAAATCCGAATCTACTTCCTTATGCTGGCCAAGTTAGTGCAGAAGATTTTCAAACTGGTTCCAGGTTGATGAATGCATATCTTGTCATTCCGATTCTAGTTGGCTAGCTTTGACATCTTCATCCGTTCCGACTGCATGTAGTTTAGACGATGCTTCATAGCCGGACAAATGAGGGGGGTAACCTGATTCGAATCTCTCCCATTGATGGTGATTGGTGCTGGTTGTTGTTGTTGTTGTTGCAGCTCGTTGTTTTTCTTCATCACCTCCGTCTTCTTTGTGTTCACCTGGAGTCCTGTCTTCACTGACTGCCTCTTCCACCAGTTTGTAGCTTTTCGCCTGCCTCTTAGTCTTCAAGTTTGTATGACATTAAACAAAAGTCATCCGAGAAATCCAGATCTTCTAGAGTCTTCCTATTGGTCAGTTCAACGAATTCCTGCTTTCTAACTCCCCTCAGTCTGACACATAATCCAGTCCACCACAATTAAGAATATCATCGGTGATAATAGACAGTCAGTCTTGTCTTACTCATGTATGCACTCCGAACGCTTCACTGAGTTCTCCGTTGTGGATCGCCTGAAACGTGGCATTGTCATATAGCCAGCTGTTGAATGAGGTTGATAAAGACTTGGGCAGTGCACACCGTATTGTTGAAGTAGTTTCCAAATCTCTTCAAAGTAATTGAAGTTAAGGTAGAGGTTTGGTTGGCATTCTATGCTTTGTTCGATGATATCGATGCGTAGAGTTGTAATTTGATCAACACATGATTTGTCTTTCTTCAATCCAGCTTGTTCCGGGTTGGCGGAGTTCTGCATCCAGTGTGTCTCTTATTCTCTACAGAATGATGTGACTTGATATCCTACTTGGCGTAGGCAACAGCATTATTCCACGCCAGTCCCTGCATAAGCTTAAGTCGCCCTTCTTTGGTAGTTTGACAACCGGTAGGCAAAGCATTTTTCTAGCCTTCCAAACCTTTTGCAATAATGGTGTGAACATATCTGCTGCAGTCACTGGGTCCGTTTTCGGCTCTTCTTTGGGGGGGGCGGTGGGAACTAAACATATAACTGACTGACTCAGAGATGAAGTGCCCACTTGTTCTAGTGGGGTCCACTAAGTTGAGTGTGACGACAAATATTCACCAATGGGATTGAGTGAAATTGCCACCCACCATAAACCACTAATTAACAAGACTTAGAATTATTGATCCTTTGGCCGAACCGTCAACGAGTTAACCACGTATCTTGAAGGTTTTTGGTTTGACCTTCAGGGAGGTCATGCTGAAGAGTTTCAAGGAAATATTAGTATCCACTATTCTCTGGTTTATATTGCTTCTCTAATCAATGTCCGTTAACATTTTTTCAAGACATACGTATTACAAATAAAGTTCACAATTCATACCTCACTAATTTTTTTCGCATTCCGAGTGAAATATAAGGCTTCAAGCTTAACTGTTAATGTTTCACAAGGTCGACTTGCTAGTCTCACACGCCTAACTCTCCCTCTTTCCTAGCACGACGAGGTTTAAGAGCACGTTGGCAAAGCATCGATCCCAGACCATGTATGTAGCTGGTGTAGTACACCTGAACCATTGACACACTTCACTAACTAATGGCTATATTATTTATACAACTGTTCACCTCAACAAGACATGGTTTCGATAGCAAAAACATAATCACAAATGTTAATCAAGTGTACTGCCATTTCTTTTCTTTTTTTTTTTGGTTTATCAACAATAATCTCATATATTAGAGAAAGTTCACTTAAGATTGATCAAAAACAGCCTGTATTGAATAAAATTCTAAGCAGTTCTTCTTATTATCTATCATGAAAGTTCATTCTGTTATCATTATTATCATTATTATTAACTAAGATCCTGCAAGTCGAACACATAAATCACTTAGTAACACTTCATGTGTATCTGGTGATTTACCTTTCATATCTAAATTTAATCTTGCTCTTAATTGTGATGAATTATATTCAGCTAAATGAAGCAATGCAGCATCTTGTACTTGTGGTAATTCATGTTTACGTGCTAAATAATAACACAATACAGCTGAACCACCTTCCATAAATTTATACATCCATTTTTCACATTTTCTAATCACATTTGGCATTTGATATTCTTTTGCCATATCCATCAATCCTTCAACATTATCTGCTGTTATCACCATATCACTATTAGGATATATAAATTTTAAAAAATTCAATACACTCTCATAATCAAATGGTATTGATATAATTGGTCCTATATCTCCTGTATTCAATGCTGAGGTATTATGAAAACGTTCAGCAAACCATGGTGAATTCATTGCTAATACTTGACGATGTGAAAATAGCCGACGATTATTTGGATCTTGTGGTAACAACTGTACATCAGAAAAATCATCAGGCATTGTAAAATCTGGTTGTCGAACAAAACGTTTTGTTTTTACTGGATGACAACATGCTGTAAAGACTGGAAATTTAAACCATATTTTTGTAATATTCACGCGTATTTCAACTTTTTTCACTGTACCTAATGTAACCCAACGTTCATTCATTGCTTTCGGTGGCAGAGTAGACGTTAACCATGAACTACCTTCAAATTTATATTTAACAACCCAATGCATACCAGCAAATTGAATGCATACTTCACAATCAGCTCTTAAATAACTTGGAAAATCAAATGCTATTCTAGGTTGATATTGATTTGGTGCAGTTTGATAAAAAAATATAATCCATGATAAACCAGGGATTTTAGGATGACTAACCATTACTTGAGCTGGTTGATCATTTAAATTAATTTCACGACAACATAATAAGAGGAGATCTTGTTCATTAAATGTAAAATCACCACAATTTGGTCCGGTTTCATCAGTTAAAAAATGTGATAAAACTGTTCCACCAGCGTACTTTGAATTCATCACCTTATCTTCAATGAACAATTAGTAGGAAAATAAATTAGGTTTAAGGGAATATTGATTAAAACTATTGATCAGTTGAATTGTAGCATTCAAATCCTTTTTGTTCACTCAAGGTCATTTGATACGCTTAAGTAATGAATGCATTTTATTATATTACAGTTATTCTCTTAGATTATAAGTGAAACAGTGGGCTTCCAAAGCACATCTCCAATCTATCCTGTTTTCTTCAGTAGTCTTCAACTGGCACCACAATTATACAGAGGTTCTCCCACTTGGATGTCCAACTCGTCATACTTAGACAGATAAAATTTTCAAAATTTCATTCAACTTAATTGTCCCTGAAATGCTTCTCTGATCGCTGGCCACTTTGAAAGGCTTTAAAATGCTTATAAAAGGTAATCCAAGCAAACTGTGTTGGACGTCATCTTCAGTACTATATACAGACTACCATGATGTGCCTATGCTTAAAGAAGGAGTACATGAGTTAGAAACGAAACTAGTTTAGGGAATTCCAAATGTTCCATATGACAAGAAGATGGAAAGTTTAAATCTGTTCTCATTACCATACTGGGGTTTATCGTATACTGAGTGGTGACTTAGGTATCATTGACCTTTCTAACCTTTTCTTTACTTCCAGGATATCTCTGGGATATCAACACATAACAGTGGTAAAAAACAGTGATCCGAGGATGAGTTTCATATTCTTACAGTGGATGGTCAATTCCAGACTAAGTTGTGCCTTAAGTGAAGAGAAAGAAGTTGTTTCTCTAAGGAGATATATGCTGTTAGGTTTTGTATTTGGTTTCACGCAAGCCACATTTAGCCTCATTGTCCTCTACCCTCCGAGAAGACTAAAATTGTTACTAAAATAAGGACATACTTTAAGAATGATGTAAAAATATGAACTGAAAATCTCTTGACATACATTTCATTCATCAGTTCATACAGTCATGTTGTTCACAGTTTAATCTTGATGTTAGACAATTGGATACAATCAGCAGGATGTCCTTCCGTGACCTAGGTTTTGTGCTTGTTGCTTCTTGAAGGAACTCATGCCCCCCCCCATTAAGATTCAAACTAGCAATATCCAATGCTGCAGTCAGAGACGTTACCGTGGAGGTATTCAGGCTAGCGACTGATCTTCTGTAAGACTGCAATGGATACTTTAACTGGTCACTAAGCAGCAATTAATGTCATGCCTCTAGTCAACTGAATTCTACTAGTCAATTTTGCTATGTCGTCAGCTACAAAGGCGGTTGTAGGCAGTCGATAGAAAGCTCAATGGTGACGTCTCTGACTGTAGCACTGGGTGACAGAGGTTCGAATCTTAGAGGGAACATAAATTCCTCCAAGACTGTAGATATGCTTTAATGACATGTGCCAACAAGTACGAAACCTGGATCCTAGGCTTCCTGACAATCACCTCCAGCCATCTAACATCAATTCAGAGTGCACCGCAGTGGCTACCACATTGCGAACTTTTTTGTGGTAGGATTCAGTCTGCACCCAACCAAGGACTAGCTATATAACATTCGTTATTACCTAATGACCAAAATGAAGTTTGGTCTACTTAAATTAGAAACTTTGGAAGAGAATAATCATTGAGAGTAATAACGTCCGTATATTCTGTCTGATACCGTTATTATAATTTAGATGAGCGAAGAATTGTTGAGCCTGCAGCTGACATAGGCAGTACATAAAACGTCAAGTGAATTCAGGCTGTTTCTCAGTCCAAACGTTTTGCGCGGATGTGAACAAAATAACTATTGAGTATTTCACAACCAACGAATGAGTGTACAAGATTTGTAACTCAGATGGAGGACTTTCATGTGATTGTGTTCTGTAAACTGTATGGCTTTAACATCTACACTCGAACCAAACTACCATCTTCAGAAACCACAAAAAATGCGTCCGAACATATACATATACTTCGCCGATGATATATGTCTGATTTCCCACAAACTTGAAGACATGCAAGTGAAAAGCAACAAGTTGACAGAAGAAGCATCAAAGATAGGACTTCCTTCAGGCGAACATAGAGAAAACAGAGGTGATGAAGATTCCTGGCCAACAGCAACAACAACAAACAACAATCAGCACAAATGAGAGAGACCTGAAAGAAACTACCTCCTTCACCTACCTACCTGGGAAGCATCGTTTCAACTACAGGCGGACAGAACTGATGAGGATATCAAAGCAAGAATCGGGAAAGCAAGACAAGCTTTCATTACTCTCAAGTCTATGTAGAGGTCAACAGCACTCAGAATCAAAAATAACATCCGGATTTTCAACTCCAATGTGAAGTCAGTGCTACTATACGGATCAGAAACTTGGCGAGTCATAAAGAGCACTTCGAACAAACTACAGACCTTCATCAACAACTGCCTTCGCTCAATAATCAAAATCAGATGGCCGGGCAGAAAAGATCAGCAATAGCGAGGGATCTCTGGGAGCGAACCAATCAGGAACCGATTGTGAAACAAATAGGCAGAAAGAAATGGAGATGGATTGGCCATACGCTGAGGAAACCATCAAGTGACATCACTAGACAAGCCATTGATCGAGTGGAACCCAAAAGGGAAGCGGCGAGTTGGTCGTCAGTACAGGGGTGACTTGGAGGAGGTCATGTGAAGAGGAGATGAAAGCGTGTAGGCAGATCTGGAGCCAGGTGAAAACGTTGTCAGAGAACGGAAGGCAATGGAGACGCGCGGCTGAAGCCCTATGTTCCTCTAGGAATTAAAGGAAATAATATATATATACATATAATATTTCTAAAATGACTGCTATAACACTAAAATCATTCGGAATGAATACCGTACACAAACCAACACAATCACTTCATTCAACATTATGTAGACCTATACCTCAGTAAAAAAAAAAGACAAGATCAATACCATCTACTAAATAAAATCCATAGATTGTAGAAAACATTATACTCGTCAAATGAGCGTTCCCATCAACTCCGAGTCCAAATCACTAACTAGCTATCAAAAGATGCGACATATGTTCTTTCATGCTAACAGCTACGAATACAAATTTATCTGGGAAAATGTAAGAATTTTAAACAGCGGAGACATCAGAAACGGATTGATCACTTGCCAAAAGATATATTAACACAGATCAGATCTACCAATTATTAAAGAATATGTCACATGACAAAAAAACCAAATTACAAGTCAATAAAACGATGGATCTTAACACGAACTAACAGCCAACCACTAGAAAGGTTGTCGAGACAGATAATATCATTCATAGAGAGAATGCCGATCAATTCATTTCATATAGAAGTCTGCACTGACTTTGTCTAAAAAGACAATAAAAGCATAGCAAGTAAACCATCTATCTCAGAGACTGTCTGAGTTTCAACGTAGGACTTTGCACAGAAGTCCAAGTTGCCACACTCTCTATACCACAAAATGTAAAACAAAATGCAGAAGTTCCAAGGAAATATAATAAACAGGAATGTATAGAAGAAAGAATAGTAACATGAGGAAAACAGGGGGATTTCATGAACCTAGGAGATTACTAAAATTGGATGCACCTGTATTACTGGTAACGATTTTGAGCCATATCATCAACAGTCTACACCATCGATTCGTTGCGTCTGAAGGACTCCAACCAGTCAGTCTACACCCTCCTACATGGCCCAGACTAACTATCAACGACTTCATGGACTGATGTAGTGTCTTGACTACACCTAATTATTTTCCAACCTAACTCTGTCAGCCAACATTGCTCGTCGAGGAAGACGGTGGCTGAGTATGCGTAACATATGCCCTAGCCGTCTCGACCGACTCACCTGCATAACCTCATCGATTGACTTTCCCTCCTTACCTAACCTCAATATTACTCACCCCATTATGGCACTTAACACGGGAAAGAGAACACAAACGTCTCTGGTCAAAGACAGCTAATCTTTTCAAACCCTCCACTCCCCAATCATAGAGGAGAACAGAGCGAACTGCTGAACAGTACACATGTCTTTTCACCGATACTTGGATATGACGTCGATTTCAAACATGATGTAAGTTAACAAATGTCAAATGTCACATGAGCATTTCGTATCCATGTTGAGATTTCATCGGCAATCAGTCCCGTTAGGGTTGATGCAACCTCACAAATAAAATGAAATAGTCAACACGCTCTAACACTTCACTCCCTACCCTTAAAACTGGGAGTCGGTATAGTTCAGTCCTGAGAATCAACTGCCAAATATTTGGAGACCCCTGTTCAAAATGTTCAGAATACTTTGAATTTTATCAGTGTCTTCCTATAGGAGGACAATGTCATCAGCATATTCTAAGTCGTTGAGACAACCACACCGAAAAATTCCCCAGTGTAATATTAGGTAATCTGGAGGAAGAACTCAAAAAACCACTTCATTTATTTTTCTCCCCTTACAAACATGAACAATGCAAGAACAAACAAATAAATCTGATGCTCACTAGCGACTGGCACTATTCAGATAGTTAACCTGGGGTTCTACTGGGAAGCTGTGACCAGCAGGATACAACAGGTTGACAGTGAGTCAGTAACTCATCCAAGAAGGAGACATTGCGAAGTGATCGTGCTATGTCATGAATTGGCAGAAGGTAGAATTCATGAGTTGGCCATTGAATTGGGTCCAGTGGCTTAATGGTTTACGAGCTCGCTAGCGTTGTAACCAAAAGGTCCTAGGTTCGAACCCCGCTGTGTGGGTGCGTACTGATGAAGAGTCTCAAACTAAGACGAAACAGTTGCCCAGTACTCCCAGGTCTTCGAATGGTTCTCTAACTGATGTCAGCTCATGATGAAATCCTCCAACTAATCAAACAAAATCTCTACAAAACCAACACCTGAGAAAACAGAAAGCAAAATGTTTATGATGTCATTTTACTTCGTCTGTCCTTGCCAGTTGTCAAGAGAAAAGTTGTAGTACACATTGCATATATAACTGAAAGTTTTAAAAAATAATTAGTAATAATAATAATCCCAGTAATACATTTAAAAATTATCCCAAAACGACTGTAATACACCACTATAACAAA